GCCCTGGCCCTGGCCGCGGCCGCTGGCCTTTGCCAACTTCCTTCTCTTTCATCATCTGCCTCTGTCTCTCTGGCTGATGCAAGGTGTTCTGTTTCATAAATTGCGTTATTGTTGCCTTAACTGCCCTGGCACGGTGCCGCTTGCTGTTGCAGGTGTGTGCGAACACCTGCGAGAGAGAAGCAGGGGTGCCCAGCTTTGGGCTGGGTTGGCTTTTAGAAGCCACATTTGCCTTGCTGGAAATCATAGCAAGGGAATAGTTTTTATGGGTTGCTAAATATATTCACGAAGAAGAATGTTACTTTGAGGAAGAAATTACACCGCTTAGTAGAAATAAGAGACTTGGATGAAAACCCTGAGGTATAATACCACTGTAACATGTTGTGATTTCTGCTGTGCAACAAAGAAGCAACTGTAGAAGAGAACCGTGAGTTTTTACTTGGAATGACAGCACAGCAGGCTCCGAAGTGTACCGATTCCTATTGGTGCCTCGTTATTCATCTTTTTCTTTGTCAACGCTTACTGAGCTTTTTTTTAGTCTTGGGTGTCCTCATTGAAGACGGAAGAACTTAGGGGTTTGTTTAGACTGGAATGGTTATTTTTTCTGGGACTGGTATTTATTCTGCTCCACAGTGGGTAAATAGTATGTGGCATCTCATATTTATTTTTATATAGATATATGCGGTAAGCTGGTATTACGTTATCAACAATACGTATGGCTGTAAACTTTTACACCTTATGCTTCTGGTTTGCATTTCACTAAGGTTAGGAAAGTAGTTCACACTTCTGGTTCCCTGCCCCATCCTGCCCCCCAGTCCACCCAACAAAAATACACAGAGGTTGAACTCTGAATATAGTGGATATTTATTTTGTCTGGATATAAATTTAAAATGCAGTATCACTGAGAGCATAGGACACTTGTGAGCCTGGAATCAGGTTTGCAGTTTAAACTGGTGTATAGAAGAAGTTGAACTGTAACTTTCTTCTGAAAAATAATGGCAATAAAGGTATATTAGTGAGAAGCCAAACCAGTGAAGCTGTGTGTGGTGGGTGAGTTTGTCTTTTTTTCGATCATTCCTTCAGGCTTGGCCTGACATGCAGGACACGCGGAATACTCTACTGTATCCTCCAGTTAACCCTGCTGTTATTGGACTAGAACCCATTCGCATCATCTTGATTTGGTGGGAAAGTTTGCAGACTTCGTGTCTGTTTAATTCCTGCCCAAGGCTGCTTTTTTTCAAATAGCTTGCATTCAGGAAGACAGTGCCAACTCTGTATCCAGGACCTTTGGGTGGGTAGGAAAAGCCTTCTGGTTCTTAGTGGGTCTTTGTCATTTGGTGGTGGAGAATGCAAGCTGGTGAAGATTTTGTGAGTAGGTCAGTTTGGCCATTGGGCTCAGATTAGTCTTCTGTATTTCAGTTTCCTTAAGGGACTGGATTTGACCTCAGATTTAGTTACGTGTGTTTTATTAATCTTCTGCAGAAATAAGCTGTTTACTCTGGCTGCTGATTGAAGTTTAGGAACACTGTATCTAGGTATTTTTTTTACTAAAGCTTTTTAGGCTGTTTTGCTCTTTTAGAGCTAACTAATTATAATTAGTAAAATCCTTTACTTTTGATAACTGTTTTACTCGCATATGTTTGCTGAATGTGCTTGAAGGAATATAGCAACCCGAGAGATGCCCTTCAGTCTGATGTCATGCTATCTGTCTTATCATAATTTTGATAAATTTAGTAGTTCTACCTGTAAACCTCAGTGTAATTATTCTTTTTTGCTCCATTCTTGATATTAAAAGCTTTTCTGTTTTGGAGATTGATCACCTGTGTGCAGTTAAATAAGCAGTATTTGTATAATATTCTGGTTGAATACAAGATAAGTAGCTTTTAACTCAAGGCCATTTATCAAGGCCAGCAAGTAATAGAAAATGATGATTGTTTGTCTGCTTGTTCCCCCCCCCAATGTTTTTTGATTATGCTGATACCTACATAGTTAGGTCCTGAAGCTTTCGTTTGGGAAGAGAGATGTTTAATGCTCTGTGCAGCCTGAGGCCATGGTTGTGTATTCAGTAGAACTGGTTTTATGCAGCACTCAATTACCTGTCAGTCTGTGGTCTGGATGGAGAGGGAGAACATGATAGCATTTATGTTTAGTTAGACAGCACCCATGAGGAAATGCTGAGTTAGCTAGAGGAAGACAGACACTACAACGTCCAGCACAGAGTCTGCTCTTAAAACTTGCCCTTTCAAAATTTGTAAATGCACTTGTATCAACAGATTTTTTTTTTTTTTTTTTTTTTGGTCTATTAAAGGATTTGCATTATGTGACTTCATTGTTTTTCATCTAGCACTGAGATGCACTAAAACTGGAGTTGGCATGTTATGAAACCACAGCCTGAATTTCTTCCACAGTGGAGATCAGACTCACTAGTAAGGACTGGGTAGCTGCCTGTACTATATTTGCCCCAAACTGTATTTTTTGTGGTTATGCAAAAGGCTTGGTTTTCAGTGACAATAAATTTGGTCCTCCTATGATGGCTCTATTCACTGAACTGTAGAATAATTAAATGGGAATGTTTTTATACTGAAGAGAATTCCTATAAGATAATTTCAGATCACCAGTACAGTTTTTGCAACATAGCCAGCGGTGCTTCTGGTAGGTGGCAAGTTCTGGTGCTGGTAGTTACCTTCCTCTGAAAGGAATGCTGCTACTGAATGCCTGGTCAAATTCAAAATAATTTAATGACAGCAAGCAGATGTTGTTGTGTCATGAGAGCTCTGGAACGCAATCTTTGCCATTTGGGCATTTGTTATTTTGGTGATTGAATACAGTATGATTAAAAAAAAACCCCAAACCAACCCCCCCCAAAAAACAACCCCCCCAAAAAACCCCAAACAAAACACTACCACCACCCCCTGCCCCCAGCCTTGATGTTCCCTAGCTGAGATTCCAGGAAAAGTACTAATGAAGGAAGAAAAGGATCTAAAGGACACTGACAACCATATTCAAAGTAGGGCTTTATAATAAATGGAAATCCACTTTCTCTGCAAGTTTGATACCTAAATTGATTGTTAGTGAATATTTTTGCTTTATAAACTGTGGTTGCAATTGTCACTACTGCCTTTTTTACAGAGGAACCCCAAATATATTAGTTGAAGTTGATGAGGAAAAAGTGTTATATTAGAAAAACATACAATAACTACCATAATGCAGAGATATGAGACAAATGTTTACTGTATTTTGTAAGAAACCTAAGTGGAATTGGAAGCTTCATATTTTGTTGTGCAAATTTCTAGCCCCGCTGGCATATTTAGATGTTCTATTTCAAAGTTTATGTATATTTTCTGTGTTCACAAACTGGGAGTAAAGACAGGATTGATAATAAAGTAGAGAGTAAATAAATTTAAACAAATAGGTGCTTTTCTCTGTATTCTTACCAGAAGTAACTAGGTGTGGAAAATAAAGGAGGTGTCTGAAGTTCTCGTAACTCTCTGCTTTGTCAATATAATCATCATTTTATAGAAGCTTTATTGAACCGTGATTTCTTTTGTTGTTTTATTACATTGGATGCATAATGTAACACACAATTGATTGGAAATTGTCCTATTTTGTGGAATTTTTTTTTTCCCCCAAGACAAATCTATAGTAAATTTTATTTAACAACTTGATATATTTTTATTTTAAGGAACAAGAAATGCATTAAATTTCTTTAAGTCTTGCTGTCAGTTAAGAACTTGAAAAAATAATCTGAATGTGTAACAATAATGAATACTCTGTATTCCTGATACAGGAGAAAAAATAAACAGGCAGCTGCAGCCAGACAGCTCTCTTCTGAAAATAACTACCAAAGTCATCTGGTAGTATTGTAACAAGTAAGATTTGTACTTTAGGTTTTTCTGTTCTGTTTTTGTACTCTCCAGGTTCTCTCTCAATTTTCTTCAGAATTAGTGTATTTGAGAGCACTTGAAAGGAGTGAAAGAAACATGACACATTGTTTTTGCCCAGTAGTTGAAGAGAATTAGTTCCAAAAGATCCTAATCTGTGTATTCTCAAAAAAAAAAAAACCCCATGGTGTTTGTCTTGAATAAACTGTAGTTCCTGTGCATATAACAATTCAGAAATTACTTCACCTACTGAAACATGTATTAAACAATGATGCTACAGACAAATGTTAAATTTGATTATTGATTTATTGACTAGCCTTGTGTGTGTGTGTTTTAGCTAGTCTAAGAGCTTTTTGGCTGGCTAAAATGGGTATGTACCTAGCAAAGCCATATTTGCTCCACATATAAAACAGATAATAGGAAGTATGTACAAAAGAATATATTTTCTTTCTAAACTTTTGTTCTGTGAGGTAGTGTAGTGTTCTGTAACATCGTGATTTGGATTCTTCTGTTTTCTTCTTTTTTTTTTTTTTTTTTTTTCCCAAGTGTTGTTTTTTTTTTTTTGTTTTTTTTTTTTTTCCCCAAGACAGCAGTGAAATTATGTATCTTGCATGTTAAAAGAATCTACTTCTACTTGCAGTGTGTTTTGAAAATGTCTGAAAACTCCAGTGACAGTGATTCATCTTGTGGCTGGACTGTCATCAATCATGAGGTACCCAATCTCAAATTAATAAAGTTCTATCAGTTTAAGACTAGCCATATGCAGTAAAAAACTTAGTAGTTTTTGTTTTGTGTGGCTCTCGCATATATCAACAGAGAATATAGGAGAGAGATTTATAAATAAGAAAACATAAAACTACTTTAAAAATGTGTATCCTTTACTATAGCTGATAGAAATTTTGTTGTTTAAAAGAATAGTTTTTTCTACAAAGGTTTTACTTTGAAGAATTGCTAGAATTTTAGTGAGATGCTCTCCTCTGTTCTATCATTTGAAAACATTGATGTTCTATGTAACTTGTCTGTTGTTCCTAATATATAAATTCTCCTTCCAAATCTACCCTGCTGCTCCCCCCCCACCCCCCCCAAAAAAAAAAAGTTGGGAATAATGGGCAGGAAAAATATCTCATGCAGAAGGGAGTGATTCCATGATTTCTCCAAGTCTTTTCTAGCACTAAAGTATCTGATCCTAGGTTCAACAGTTGCTGTTTAGGAACAGCCCTCTGTCCTTACATTCTATCTTTCTTATTATGAAAAAATAGGATAGAGACAAGTTTACACTTAATGACTAGAATGTTACAACAAGGCATTTTCAAGGCTCATGTTTGTGCATAACCGACTGCTTTTGTTCCTGACTGGAACAGTCTCTGTCTTGGAGTTGAGCCTCTGAGCTCAGGAGGTTGAGGACTGCTGTGAAGACATCTGCGAGATGTGCTGCCTCTAATCTTTTGTATTGCCTCGCTCTGCTTACAGATAGGCAGTTTGGAGAAAGATGCACGTAGGTCTGTTTGGTCTTATTTGCACGATTTTAAGCACTTTAATTTGTGTGGAATGCTGCTCTGCATTGAGAAGCAAAGATATGGGGAGTTGAGAGGGTCTGGGGTCTCTAGAAATCAAGTGTTGCAAAGACTGGCTGGAAATTCCTTGGAGAGGGTTATGTTACATAGAGTATGTAGTTATATGTTCCATACCCAAGATGCTGAAGTTTTCCCAGGCTTTCTTGCCACAAGTGGAATCTGGGGGAAGCTACAGTGAGTAAAGGAATGCCAACATTTTGTTAGATATATTGGGAAATGAAGGTGATGGGAGGGCAGGGCAGCGCTCCTTACATCTGTACTGTGAAGTTGGGAAGGAGAAGTATAGCCTTCTTGGAGCTTAAAATGATGATTGGTGAGGGCTTGCCCTACTTATGCTTGGAGGTTCTTGAAAGCTGTAACAGCCTGAAAGACTTGGAGGTGGTAAGAGATTCTTCTGTGAGAAGGATTGAGTTTTGAAGTGACTTTCTTTTGTGTTTTCCAGAGACTCACAGCAGCTTTTAGCACAAGTTCTTTGCAATTCATGTTGGAATTCTGGGTTTCCTTGACCCTGTTGTTCAGGCAGGAGAGCGCAAGGCATAAAATATGTAGAAATAATGTGGATCCTGGCACTTTGTGGAGGAGGAATTCATACGGCAGTGCAGGACTGAGCTAGTGGCTAAGAGAATGGTTTTTTTTCCATTAGGCAAACTGTCGCTGGAGAGGTATCTTCCATAAGGAAATATACAAAAGCAATCTAATTATTGAGTAAGGAAGTTGTGATGGTAGATTGTGTGTCAGTAGGTGGACAGAGCTAACAGACGGTGTGCAAGGCAAAAAACTGTTCTTGGTTCAAAATGCTTGATGTCTTTTTAAGACCTATTCAATTGACATGTGGAGCTCTATCAAATTTGTATGGCTTCAGTTGTTGTGTTTCTGTCCATCTTTTGATCTCTGCTATAGCTTAATTTATTAGGCATACTTTTATTTGGGATGAAATGCCAGAATTCCCTCATTCTTTGATCAAGTCTTGTGGTATAGCTATTTGTAGAGTCACTATACGTCTGTGTAGCCCTGGTTTAATTTGTGTGTTTGTGTTTCCTGTCTTCTGATGTTTGACTAGTTGTATAAAGTGGCAATGGCTTTATTAAAACAAAAGTAATTTTTAATTCCTAGTAGAATAAAGCTTGAGACAAAAGAAAAACAGTGAGGCAATTCAAGGTCTGTTGGGATGGGATTTGTTGTTGCCTAGGTGTCTACAGGGTAGACATCTCTAAGTTTGCGTTGGATAGATTAAATCAATACAATCGATGGAGCCTAGAAAGTGGTAATTCTTGCTAAGGTCAACACTGATGTTTGATCAAATGAGTTGGTGCCTTGGCTGCACTGACTGTATTGGTAGTAAAGGTGCCTTCAACAACTTGCTCAGGTGTAGATGCTTGAAGTTAGGTAGGATTAATGTTTTATCTTTCTTTCCTCTAGCAGTGAACAAGGCAGGCCTCAGTTGCTCAGAAACTCTGAGAGACCCTACCTATTAGTGTGGACCTCCAATATACTTTTCTCCTTTATTCCTGAGGATTTTTGTGTCTCTTCAGATCTTGGCTGATGTGTGGGTGTAGTATGGGATTGCTTGGTTTTTTGTTTGTTTTTTAAATATTTAGCGTTGTTTTGTAAACTGAGCAGGCTATGAAGCTAGAATCCTGAGAGCACATGGGTTAAATGTTTTCCTGGAATGACACTTACATATTGGCTGTCTGTATCTTCTTCTTGCCTGCCCCAAAATATTTTCAAGGAACAGTACTTGAGATACTTCATTCATAGGATGAACACAGGAAATAATGGGAAGACATCATAGGAAGCGATCAGCTGTTTCTCCTTCACTGCACGCTCTCCTATTTGCAGATTATAATGAAAATCTGGGTAATTTGAAAGGCAAACCATTACAAGTTGTGATTGTACTTAAGTTTTGAAAACTCAGTTCAGTTTCAGAAGCAAGAGATATGTTTTGTGGCTTATAAATGTTGGGCCATGGTTTCATTTCTGTTGGCAGCAAGGTGGTATTTAAGAGATGGTTAAAGCTTCTTTTCCTTGGTTAGGGTTGGATGACAAGTTGTGAATCCTGTCACCAAAAGAGAAACAGAAAATTAACTTGCTCCAGTCCTCAGGACCAAGTGGGATACAGGAGTGCCCAGGGTGCCAGACTTTACAGACTTCTAATAAAAGTGAAAGGATTTAGGAGTTGGCTACAACAGTTGGGTTACTCAGCTGTGAATTGCAGGCTTTATTTTCATACTCGGGATGGTTATTTTATACTGTAAATGAAAATGAATTATGCAGTCTAAATAAATTAGCATAATACAAGATTATAGGAAGGCAGGGATTTGTCTGGCCAAAGCAGAACAGATTTCTATGGTGTAGAGATTTTCTGTTCCCAGTTATTCTTCCCTGATTAAAAGAAATAAAATCATTCTTTTTGGGGTGGGAAAACACTGGTGTTTAAGAGCTCCCATTATTGGCGTTCTCCTGGCAAGACACCTTTGAATATGAGAATGAAGAAGGTAGAATGAAAGGAATGGCTAGATAGCCTTCACACTTGTTATCCAGGCAAGGGGTGGCATGTGGACTACTGTATACTTCGGGGAAATGATTTGGATATTTAGGAAAAGTGTAGCGCTAAGGATTAGACAGATTTGGAATACTGTAGTGTTACTTTCTCATGTATTATTGCAACCTGTGTTGATGATGACACCGGAATTGGTTTCTAGATTTGTTTTGCCATTTGCAAAGGCACTGAATTAAGAGGGGCAAGAAATGGCAGTTGGCTAGGTTGTGACTGCAGAGAACTGGCAGCTGTGTATGCTGAATTTAATACCTGTTTTGAACAGAGAAGTGATGCTGTGTATTGTTGGACTACTCTTAAGAAAGGACTTGCTAATTTTTTGTAGGAGTGTAGGAAAAGGAATGTAGTGAGGAGACAATATCCTTCCTCAGCCTCTTTGCTGTTGATGCAACGGAAGGGTGGTGGAGGTCTGGAGCAACAGATAAAGTGCATCAGAGAGTTCAGACATGCGCACCAGGCTGCATGTATTTAAAAAAGGATGGCTTACCTTGTACTCAGCTAGCCCAGTTTCTTGGTATTTTAGCTAAAATTTTAATCTGTTTTAAGCTGTATTCTTGATGTTCACCTTGTTGTAGAGTCTGGGCAAACTAAATTTTTGTTACTGTTTTTCTTCTTCACAACTTATGAAATGAAAGTAATGGTTCTATTACACCAGAGAACAATTGTCACGTAAATCTATATACCTATCTCTAAAAACCAACAAAGCCAAAACCCCCAAATAATTTTTTATTTTCTTTCCTGAGATTTCACTCAGATTTTAATAAGTTACTTATAATTGATTGGTGAATTTCTACAAAACATTTGAGATCAAAATTGTGCTACTTTTCTAGTCAAAAGAAAAAAAGTTCAAAGTATTTGTCAAATTACTAAAGCAGTTAATTTTTGAAGCCTTTTGAAAAGAAACATAACTTTGTAATTTGATTGTAGAATGTATCTTATGCAACTCTTTTTGAGGTACCTAATCTTTCTGAAGTACAGTCTCCTTTTAAAAACAAAAGCGTACATGTTTGCTTGGGTCCTGAAATGAGGCATGTAGGGA